AATCTTTTATGCGTTCGCATTGCATGTTGTTACAATAATAAAGGGCTACCCCACCATCTCTAATGGTTGGATCCTTCCGGATAACGGACATGCCCGTTAGTGCAATTTCAGCATCGGTTATCTCTCAATGCAATCACGTTTCGGTGACAGCGATGAGGTCCCAAGCTGCAGAAGCGTGTACAAGTCTTAATTCAGCTAATTTGTTGAGTAGACCTTGGGCATTTGTGTACATGCATGAGAGCTTCTTGGAGACCAAAACTGTGTTAGATTGGATGGATGAAGCAAATGAGTTTACGCCGACCATTAAAGGGTCGGTGACTAATCGTTTTTTGGATGGGTTGCATACTCTCAAGAAGTATTTGATATATGAGCAGGTATCAGATGCCCGGAAGCCCGGTGTTTGCTCGTGCTCTGCGGTGCCCCTCCGGATAATATGGCTAATCTTGAAACCGTCTTCGAGTCGGGTCCTGCAGTTGGCGTTTTCATTAAGACTTGTGCCTCTACTGAGTTGTCATTAGAAGGTACTGGTATTCTCGCTGCTTTCGGACGAATTTCTGTTAGCAATCTAAATTGGAATTTTGTTCAGTACTTTAATAGGTTTTGCGCCATTAGTAACAAAAGTTTTTACAGCCTGGGACCGCACCACTTATAATTGGGTGATATGGGGATCCTTGTCAACGAGGTGACCACGACATTTTCGAGAGAAAGAGCCACCCGGATGTAGTGCCATTGCTCGCGGTCGCGCATCTGAGCGTCGTCGAAAGAGGAATCAGTAAGCTCAGGAACACCATGAGCAGTCACTGTATTTTTATCTCGACTTTTTCTGTACCTATCTTTGTTAGCAAGATCCCCTGAACGTTTTTTCCAAGGGATTTCAAGTAGTAAGCGCACTCCATATGAGTCGTTGCAGAGACAATTCGGAGACAGCAGAACGGCCTCAGTCTCGTCCACCGAGTTTAGTGTTACCCGAAATAACCTGGGTTCGCCGTAGTGTAACACGTTTGAGTAACGCGTGATTCCTTTTAATGTCGTGGGATTGGCATGGACACCGATCGACGTACAGATGGAAACCCACTGATTTCGGTCGTCCGTGAACTTACCCTTACTTGTATTGGATTTGGATTCGAAGATATTTGTGCATACAATGTTCAGGACACCATGGTAGCGCCTGGTGGCTACTGGTTTTGGATTTGGAGGTTTAGTATCTGGTGCTTTTGTTAAATTTTTGAACGGCACTGGTGTGGTCCATCCGTGCTGGGGTAGTTTTGTTTTCTCTAGTCCGCGCACAAAGGTTACCGGTGCTCTTTCCGGTGTTTGCTTGGCGGCAACCGATGCGTACGTTGCCGGGTTGTTCACTATAGCTGGTTGACTGTAGCTTACAGTCTCGAGTGTAGTGAACTGGCTACTATGTGGAGCACACAGTACAGAAGTTGAGATAGGCGCGCTGCAGGCACTGGTTTTAATTATAGGAGGGAGAGAGAATGGAGTTGATACTGCTGGAGGCTGCGTCGTTGGGGCTAGTTTGGGACTCCCGGCTCGCTTCTTCGGCCTGACTAGGGAACTCGGGGTGTTATTTTCACCCACAAGTGCAGGTCCGTTTCCTCCCATGGATGTAACTCTGGCGCTCACCAGTTTTTAGACCGCTTCGGTTAGTCTTTCACGCCTCTTCATTAGCACAGATAGACAGCTAACAAAGTGAATAGACTTGCATATTTGGCAGAACCAAAACGCCTCTGTGGTGTTTGCTTTTGTCGATCCCTTTCCAGAGCAGGTAGTGTGACAGGGTTTCTAACACATTGTACACACCGGACCACATTTTACCACTTTAGCACATGATTCGCATTTGCTCCTCATGCGAGACATGTTCACAGTAGAGGTGAGTTGTGAATGGGCAGCAAGAGGATATAGATACTGACGCCCCGTTGCGTGGCCAACGGCGCTGGTTTGACGTCAGAGTTGTCAGACGCTTCGAGTCCAGATAAGTCGCACGTCCCTTAGGGTAGATAGGCGACGTACGTGCTATCCATCCAGCAGGTAGTGGGTAGGCAGCGATGCGACATGGGATTGAAGCAAAACAAGGCGTCTTGGAAAATACTGTCTAATGGCGACAGCGGCTGTTCCAAGGGAGGATGAAATTGACGAATATTTCTTAGTACAGCAAATTGAAGGAATGGTAGCATGCTGATAGGGTGACTCTCAAACAGATGTTTAAAATAGGACCACAAGAGTTCTTATGCGAAGAGAGGAAAAATAAATCCTCCGATAAGGTTCAAATACGGTTGACTTCAAAGTGGCAAGAGCACAGTTTGCTGGTGATCCGCAAATGATAGATCCAATGGACGAACAGTAGTAGGAGGAGCTTGCGGAGCCAAATCGAATGATGGTACGTAGGTCTGTGTGAATAATCTCAAAGATTTAGAGCCGCATAACGCAGGAACACAGTTTTGCGACCTCAGGGCACAGCTTTAGCTCGACGAAGTTCGATTGATGGGAAGACTTTGACTAGGTTTTAGATCCAAAAGGAAGATCAGGTGACTCCCTACAAGGCAGCATTTGGTTGGGAGTGTTGAGTAGGTTCTGTCGCATAGTTATGTGAAGTCTGTTCAGTTTGTCAGTTAATCATCTCAAGCTACACAACCAGGGGTTGGATAAGATTTTCGGAAAACTGTTGAGTGGTAATGATTTTGTGGAAACTACGAAAAGCTTTTCTGCAATCATAAAACATGAAGAAATGCTCTTGAGTTTTTTTGAAAGGCAGACGCCTTGGAATAAACTAGCTACGAAACGGTATCTAATGTAGAAAGTGATGGTTTATAGGCAAACGTTTTTCAACATCATTATGATGGCCGGTGAAAATGCAGTGAATCAGTAGTTTTTCTAATACCTTTAACAACACGGACGTTCACCAACATGTCCATATTTCTAAGCTCGGATTTTAAGATATGCTACTGGATTTCCAGATGTTGGGAGGTTCACAATCGCAAGTCTGCCATGTAATATATATCACTGGTGTGCACATATTTTCATCTACAGAGAGCAGAAATTTCGAGCTTTTATGGCATTTGATATGTTTAATATAATGAAATAACAACATTGGCTCCTATAACAATCCGGGTGGTACTCCGCATTTAAATTATTTGCGATCTGATAGGGGTTCATATAGACTAACCCCTAAGCACCGGTGTAAGAGAAAGCTTCTGAACCAACTAAGATGAACAGCACTAATACAAGGGTCTGGAGTTTATACTGCCTAATTGCATGGACAAACCCGTCGAAGTATTGTGAAATGGCGAAACATCACATCAACTTCCATGCTGGTGTCTACTGCTTGTCTATTTGAATCGTCCTAATATTACATTTGTGGTGTACAGTCGATTTCGTAGAAAACCATGATGTTCCGATGCAGTGTAGTTAAAGTCGACCAAGCAGGCCGTTAGCGCATCAGGAATAATATCATTCATGTCCATCAAAAAAGCTTTTCCGTAGAGTTCGGGGTATCATTTTTCTACAATTTTCGATTCGTCAGAGGAAGATTTAAATACTATTTGTATCGAGTTCTAAGTTTCCTATGTAAAAATATGATCCTGCCGTAATATTCATGTATTTTCTCTTTTCTGTTTAGCCACATAGGATAGGATTTTCCTATGAGAATCAAATTTTCCCAATTTCCCCTAACTTTCATTTATATTTTTATTAATAATGCTATTCCTTTACTTTTGTATGCGTGGTACATTCAGTGTCATATCCTTTAGGAACTTAGTCATTTTTACTTTTGCATAATAATTCTGATTCGCTCCAGATAAGACTCCGGTTTGTAAGAAATTATAGCTCCGAAGCACCATAGATCGAATAAAGAGCTACAGGTACCAACTTTCCATAGATCAAATCCAGCGGTACCTGCTGCTCAATAGATGGTAGCTTTTAGATGATACTATGTGTATAAATTGCTACTAGAGAGCTGTCGATGGCGTTCGAGTGAAGCAAACGGAAGCAATGTATTTAGATCCAAATGTAATGGGTGTAGACCGGAGAGTGACGGAACAGACGGAAACACTAAATAACTGTTACGGAGCTGTTAGGGATCTACACGGAAATATCCGGAACTACGACAGGAAATTGTAACCTTTAATACCTGCCCAAGATAGAGATTTAATGAGGTCTATTATGTTATAAATTTTTGGTAGTGTCACAATTTTATGTTAACTTGTTCTTTCTTAAAACATGCTTACTTTAGTTTTATTTTAGTTCTATATACACAGTTACGGGGAATCATTTCAGTCGCTCTGAATTCTCTAATATTAGCTGTAATAACAGTAATGTTTTGGGCGCTGTTTTTTACGCTTACGTAATTTATTTTTGTTCTTTATCCCTGTATTTGCTTAAGTGGCTCACTCTGTATAAATTCAATCTTATCTGTTCTTCTCTGGATTCTACTATGTAGACTGAAATCTGCGAAAAATATTTCTCTTAGTCGAGTACCAACGCAATTTAATTACTCGCATCCATGTCACATACATAAAAGCACGCGGATGCGGAGTCGAATCTGATTGTTACTACTTGTGCACGTCAACTAAAACTGCGTATTTCCAACAGAGACTCCAAACGTGCAACATTTGCTATGCAAAATCTTCCACTGCAGCCGGTCTTTCACTTCATGAGCCATATCACCAGAGACATCTCATTAACCGACGTCCTTGTGATAAGGAACTGGAAACAGATCAAATTCGTGGTCATCAGTTCGCATTTGTCCGTGCTCTAAAAACACCCTATGGTCGGACACACCCTACCGATTATGATGTAGGAGCGCTGCTTAGGTGCGGAGTCCAAAAATAGCCATGTCCCGTCGTTCTTACTGGATGTTAGAAATAAAATCTTGTTGGTATCCCAATGATATATTCTGGGAGGCTCCCGAAGATACACTACGACAGTAGGGCAGAAAGATTACACAGGGAAAACACAGGTGGTGTTTGGCTAGATGGTATAAGCCAGAGTTCAAAGTAAAGTTGTCCATTGATTGTATACACATCAATAGCTTTTGAATGATGTGGTTAGAGTCATATGATTGTGGCTAGTATCTTCCCTGTGCGAAGAGAAGTAAGCTAAAAATAGCAAAATAAGTTAAAGCTCCTACATACCTCCCCACCAGTGCGGTAGCCGCACGGTGATAAGCGACCAGGAGTAAAAAACCCGGTGGGAATTGCCGGGAAAACTGACCTCTACCTGATACAGTGTCGCTTAAAATGCCCGAGGCTGAGGCACAGGAGGCACGCAGATTAAGTTGTTAGCGAAGATACAATGAAAATGTGGGAGCCGAATGTAATAGTGCAACAAGGATGTTTGAGTTGCGAGTGTTGTCCAACGCAATCCTTCTGCCTTTTGTCGACATGAGAATCTTCTTATTCGCGCTAAAGTTGTTCTTTCCTCTCCTGGCAAACACTGGAAAGCAACGAGCAGGAAAGGAAACTGGCAGCAGGTAGTATAACAAGATAGACAGCACGGCAAGTTGTTATTCTCAAGATATCTAATACGCTAGACGGTCTGGAAAATGAACTTTTCTACCTGACCGTGTTTGCCGCGTACTAGTCTCTTTTGGCTTAGCTTCAGATGTTGATGATTGAGGATCATTTTCAAAGTGCTTTGATGACTCCTGCGTACATATGGTGTTTTTAGAACCTGTCGATTGTTTTTCACAAGGTTGTTCTATATACGCTGGCTTGAGTCGGTCTACCGAAACTACATCGACTTTACCATTCCTGTTGATCATATGATGTTTTTCTGTTCTAGCGATCACCTCAAATGGCCCTTCGTACGGTGGTTGTAGAGGCCTGCGGACTGCATCGTTTCGTAGCCACACATGTGAACAAGTTGTCAGATCTTTTGGTATATAACACTTGTTAGTTTGTGCTCGTGTGGCAGTAAAATGCAGTTCACGCATGGATGAACGTAAGCGATGAACAAAGTTTGAGGGATCTAGAGCGTTGAAGTCGATGGGTTGAACGAGGTCAGCCGGGAGCTTTAGCGTGGTACCGTATACCAGCTCCGCGGCAGAGCAACCTAAATCAGCTTTAAACGTCGTTCGTAGACCTAATAGAACCAGCGGTAAGTTTTCTGTCCAACGGGTAGTGTCAGAACATGCCATCAAAGATGTTTTGAGGTGGCGGTGAAAACGTTCGACTAACCCGTTCGCTGTTGGATGGTACGCAGTTGTTCTTATTCGCTTAGCTCCGAGGATATTAGTGAGATCTCGAAAGAGGGTTGATTCAAATTGCGCACCGCGATCCGTTGTTATGGTGGATGGGACACCATAATGTGCGATCCAATGAGCCACAAAGTTACGTGCTACCGTCTCTGCGGAAATGTCCGCGATGGGTACTGCCACGGGCCAACGAGTGTAACGATCGATGCAAGTAAGTAGGTACTTAAATCCACTCGACGGCGGCAGCGGACCGACGGTGTCGATGTGCACGTGACTAAAACGAGCATCGGGAACGGTGAACTCGCCAAGAGATGCCTGTGTGTGGCGGTGCACTTTTGAACGCTGACATGGGAGACAATTCCTCACCATGTTCTGCACGTCTTTGTTCAGTGCCGGCCACACGAAACGATCGGAGATGAGTTTTCGCGTTGCACGGATGCCTGGATGTGATAGACCATGTAATGAATCAAAAATGATTCGCCGATAGGTCGGTGGAACTACAGGTCGTGGCTTTCCTGTAGAAACGTCACACATCAGAACATCCGAACTATCAGGCAGCTGAATGAGTTTCACCTGTAGATTAGTTTCTCGAAGTTGTTGAAGAAACTGTTTATCCTGATGCTGTGTTGTGGCTAGTTCTTGAAGATCAATGGGGGAATGCTCAAGGAGGGTATTGATTTCCGCCCGTGATAGGGCATCTGCTACGGTGTTGTTCACACCGGACAAATGCCGAATGTCGGAGGTAAATTGGGAGATATAATCTAGTTGTCTAGTTTCTCGTGGGGAAAGTCGATCAGAAGCAGAACGCAGTACATACGTTAACGGCTTGTGATCGGTGAATATCGTGAATGTACGCCCTTCCAAGTAATGTCGGAAATGACGCACATTGAGATAAATAGCTAGGAGTTCTCTGCTGAACGTACTATAACGTCGTTCGGCAGGCTGCAGTTTCTTAGAGAAAAAGGCAACTGGATACAATTCACCTCCCTGTCGCTGTTGGAGCACACCACCTACTGCTACATCTGAAGCGTCTACCGTTAACTGTAACGGAGCCTTCGGATCAAGATGCACGAGGAGAGTGGCAGTTGCTAGCTGATGTTTTAGATCACTGAATGCCCGCTTAGCTGATTCCGTGAAGCTGAATGATTTAGCATCTAATTTGAGTAGCTCGGTAAGTGGCTGGGCTAACTCAGAACAGTGTGGGATGAAACGTCTGTAGAAGTTAACCATGCCTACAAACCGACGTAACTTTTTGATGGAATCGGGGATAGGGTATTCTGTGATGGTTGTCACTCTGTCGGGTAGGGGTGTAATTCCGGCGGAGGAAACACGGTGACCAAGAAAGTCTACCGTATCAACACCAAACTGACTCTTGGAGGCATTGATAACCAACTCACAGTCTGTGTG